GATATGAAAAGGATGAATAGCAACTGGAACGAACTGGAAAGGATTACCCAGGACATATTTGGATAGAGTTTGCTAATGAACAGTCCATGCTTCTCCACAAGGAGTAACAGGCGTAAATCAGCTTCTTTTGAGTATATATTTTCCTCTGTTTATATAAAACACCATGTCTATGACCATATTTATTTATTACTATTATCCAATCAAATAATTTTATCCAATTAGAAACTAAAAATTAAAAATATAAAAACCAACATTTTAACCAATCAGAAGTTGATAAATTAAGAAAGAACATTTAAAACATACCTGGAAACAACAGTTAAATGGATATATTCCTTTAAACATGTATCTATGCCTGTATATATGTGTGTATCTATGTAAGTATGTGATGAATACATAACTTTGTCCTGTTCACTAATATTTAAACTCACTATTATAATCATATTCATTTAACTCTTATTTGTTCATTCAATATCCTGATTGTTACTACGGTGTACGAATCAATTCTATTCTGTTATAGTTATAAACATTATCATTATCCCATAATGATTAGGCAACTCTTAGTTGATCATAAGAGTTTAGACATTATCATAGTTATTAACATCACCATCTTCATCACCATCACCATCATCAACGTTGACAGTCATATTCATCATTTTTGTTGAATATTTTCATAAGTTAGAGAAAAGAGAAAAGAAGAGAAGAGAAAAAAGAAAAAAAAACATAAATATACTTGTACAACGAACAACAAAAACTCAGACACAGACACACACACACACAAGTACATAATGAACATATTTGAGAAATGTTTCAAAGTTGACTATATATTTTCATCGATAATCTAAAAGTTTCTATCATTCACATGTTTCAACAAAGAAGATCTTTAGCTGGAACTTATAACCATTGAATTATTGAACAAGTAAGTAATATATATATACATGTACAATGTATACAATGAAATGATGATCATAATAATAATAGGATCATTTTTAACATAGATTAGTGGATTAGTTCAAGTTAGACATGAATATCGTTAGATGTCGGCCGACTTAGTGATCTATAGGTTAAGTAGTCGCGTGTGAGACCAAGATGTTTTGGGTTCGAATCCCATGGAGCGGTGCGTAGATTTGCACTACTGAGGAGTCTCACAGTAGAACGAAACGGCCGTCAAGTGACTTCAGGTTTTTCATGGTGGTCAAACTTCAATTGATTCATGAATTCAACAATTAATGTAGAAATCATAATTTGTGCTATTTTACTCTTGTTACTTATTTCATGTGAGTAGTAATAGTGTGATTAGAAATGTAAGGTTTCAGTGTATATCATAGTTCGAAGTACTATTGAACAATTTACAGCAAATACATATAGACCAATTAATATATAAATAAATGGTATATTGTCCGTTATGAATGTCCAGATGCTCAAATATGCAATAAGATACTCTAAGACCAAAGAAGTTCCATGGGTCATGTATAGCCTTTTAAAGAGTCAGTTTTCTACCGGATGCGGTCGATAACCCAATGCCCAAACGTCCTACTTTATCCAGGCTTGAGACCGGCAGTGGCCCGAGAGAGATTTCAAAGGGAATTATGGTTCATGTTTATGAAAGATTTTATTTCATGTTTAGAAGGGGCTATACACCATAAATAACTGACATTCTTATTGGCAGCATCTGTACACTTGTCACCTATCGTCATTATCAGGGACTTTAGCACGAATCATTTTGAGCTACGATCTCATAATTGATTGGTATAACAAGACAGTTGTCCTAAACTCAATATAATTTATGATATGTTGCTTTCATCATAAATATTTATATATAATCAGTGCTTGAAGTCACTAACTTCTAGTCTGAGCCATGATGGTAAATGCAGACTACTTGGTTTGGGTCCGAGCGACTATCGTAACCAATGGTTGAAGACTCTGGGTCACATGGCTCAGAATCAGTCATAGTGGCGTAGGTGTATACACTCTATGTCTTCCCTTAAACTATGAGATTGAAATCGTTTCATATCTTTCTTTCCGCGAACTTATTCTTTCTTACTGTATCATGTCTTTATATGCAATCTTTCCTTTATATATTACTACCATTGGATCAACTACGTCTATGAATCCGCTGTTCATCTTGCTGTGCTAATGAGGGACGGCAACTTTGACCGATGCATATAGGTACCTGGTTCTGCGTTGTAGCTGATTGACTGACTGACTGAACTGATCTATTCATTACCGTAACCGATATTTTGAAGAACCACGAGTTTTTTACTAGTTTACCACTGATTAGTAATTGGATGACTTGTGTTTTAGGGATCTTCAAATGAAAATATGTTCGTCTTTCTTGAAACTTCTTTATGCCGAACTATTACTTTATTAAATCAACAAGTTTTAAGTCAAATGATTCACTAGTAAGACTATCATTTATAGACGAACCAATCACGTATAAGTTGACAGGTCTTGGATATTGGCGCGGACTTCATTCGTCCACTTGACTAAATAACGTTTTACCATTATAGCTTATATCAGTTCGTAATTACCCCC